GGCTCTCCCCTCTAATAACCTGAGAACCTGCTCCTTTTACCAAGTCCTCATTCTTTCACAAACAGATGCCCAAGTCAGGAACGAAGCATGTGGTCATTGGGCCTGGGGCCACCCAGGGTTCACAGCAAGGGTTATGTGGGCTTCTGTCTGTTGTGGGGTCCAGGGTCCCTCAATCCTCCCTTTGTATCCTCACCTTGACAATGGCAGGACCTGGCTCCTCCCCTCTGCTGCATGTGTCATTCCTCCCCCTGAATTCCCAAGGCTGATATCAGGTATGGGCTTCCGTGGTGTCTTCTCTGGGTGCTCATTCATCATTGAGCCTCCCAAGACTTCAGCAGGGAAGGCTTCTGTGGACTCCCTTCTGTTTAGGGGTCCTTGATCCCCTCAGTCTTCCCTCAGGGTCCCTGCCTTGACTGCACCTTGATCCCACAATTTGGCAGGTCCTGGGCATACCATCTGCCCACCTGAGGCTCTGCTCCTTATGCCAAACCCCAGAGCCTCTCAGAAACGAATGCAAAAGTGAGGAAGTACCACGTGACTCCTGGGCAGTACCTCTGCATTTCCTCTGTGGACCTGGGGCCCTACAATTTTCATCGAGTCCCAAGTCTTACTTGGCCCTGGATACATACGGAAGTCAGGAAATGCTGCACTTGGCCATTTGCTATGGAGAGCTCCCGTGGCTGAGAGCAGAGGTGGGCTCATATGGGATCCCCTAGGTTGTGGAGTCCAGGGTCCCCTGAGCTGACCTGTGGCTTTGCTCCTTACACGGAACCCCGCAGTCTCTCAGACCTGGATACAGAAGTCAGGAAATGCTGCCTGTGGATGCCCACCCACTTGGCCTCCCAGGACTGATTATTCATTCCAGTGTCCAGGGTCACGTATTTCCCCCTCAAGGTCCTCAAGTTGACATCAGCAGGACCTGGGGTCCTCTGCTCTGCTGCCTGAAGCCCAGCTCCTTATACTACCTCACCCCTGAGTCTCTTAGACCCAATGCAGAAATCAGAAAACACCTTGTGTGGTCATTCTCCCATCCACCCCCACCCACCTTGCCCCCTGAGACCTGCCAGATTGATACCTTCAGGGGCCCAGGCACCCTCTATCTCCCTCAGGGTCTTCACAGTTGACTCTGCTTATGTCCCTGTCATACCCTCTGCAGACCTAAGAGTCTGAGCCCTTACACAGAGCCCCCAGAGTGTCAGAACCAGAAGATGTAGAAGTTACGAATCGCCATTTCTGGTCATCCTGCCCTCTGGGCCTCCCAGGACTGACTGTTCTAGGGTTCAGAGTCCCTTTATCTTCCCTCCCGGTTCTCACCTTGAGCCCTGGCAGGTCCTGGGAACCTCCTTCTGTTAATTGGGAGGCTGAGTCACTCAGACCTAGGCCCTCAATGCCTCGAGACCCCCAGGTGAAGTCTGGACATCACATAAGGGCATCAAGCCGGAGATTCCCAGGGCTGCTGGCAGAGGCTGAGATGGATTTGGTGGGGTCCTCCAGCCCTCTCTCTGGCTCTCACCTAGATTCCAGGCAGAGTCGGGATCCCGCCCCCTTTGCACCTGAGCTTGCTCCACTCAGACCTTGTCCTGCTCTCCTGAGGAGGTGGGGGCTGGTGGGTTGTGAGAAACAGTACTCAGCCAAACAACCCAGCCCTGGGACTCTCAGTGCTGACAGCAGGGGCTAACCTGGGTTCTGAGGTTGGGGGGGGGGCTGGGGCAGCCTTCAGCCCTTCTTCAGGGTTCATACCTTCAATCTCTGCTGGACTGGACTCCTTCCCTCTGTGGACCAGAAGCAGGCCTCCCAGACATGGCCCTCACCTCTCTTGGACTTCGTGCACAGAACTCACTGGAGTTTACATCCAGAGAGTATATCTGGCCCCCTCTCCCCCAAGTGCTGAGAGCAGGAGTGAAGCTGGATTGCATGGAGGCCAAAGTACTCCCTCTGGTCCTTGCTTTGATCCTGTGGGAACTGTACTCCCAAACTCTGCAGACCTGAGTCTGTGAGCAAGGCTATGACCCCCTACTTCCTTGAGGAAGTGCTCAGGCTTACTGTGTGGTGATGTGAGGGGAAGTGAGAGTCTTCTTTTCTTGGACATGGCATCTGTTAGGGTATAAGGACATGACCCGCCTACATGAAATGATTTTCTGTGCGGGCTAGCTGGGCCATCATGTGGTCCCTGACCAGGCAGGGGAGGAGAGAGCCACTGCCCTGATTTGGAGAAACAAACCATGAGTGAAAGGCCAGAGCCATGTGTGTTTCCCATTAGTTGGAACCTCCTCAGTCCTGATGGTTTCCAATCACCTGCTATGTAGAAGACTGTTCTGGTATATTAGCTAACATTGCTGTCTTGTTCCTAATGACCTTTTCTCATTACCCCCCTTGCCCTTGTGCAGGTGAAGAAGCAGAGACAAGTGGAAGAGTGTTTCTTCCTCAGGCCACTAAGCAGGTACTCTGCATTGTGTGACAGAGCACTCAGCCGCCTTCATGCCTTTACTGTTACCTCAGTTCTCCCTGGGGGTGCCACCCACACAGCTCAGTTCTCCTTGTTGTGATTTTGTGGGGTTGATGAGAAAAGGGCCAAGGAACTCAATGGTGGAAACCAGGCATATATCTCAGTAGAAGAAAAAGAAGTGACCAGACCACAGGGGGACATCCATCCTCTATCTTAAATCATCCAAACCTGATGACTAGGGTGACCCTTTGTCACACGTCAGATGGGTAAAGGTTAAGCACAGTGATGATGCTCAGGGCCAACAAGCCTGTGAGGAAATGGCACCAGGCTCATGGTTGGTAGAACATACATGGGTGAGCTTCAGTGGAAGGCTATTTGCTGGCATGTATCAGCATCTCAGAAGTGCAGGCATGTGACCCAGTCATCCTCCCAACAAGTCTTCAGTCAACAAGTGTTTGTGGTAGTATCCTTTAGAGTGGCAGGAAGTGCAAAGCAGCCTGTGACTCGTTCTTCATCAGTAGGGGAAACTGAGTAAATCGTGGGGCAGCCAACAAAGGGATACCATACAGGCAGCAAAAAATAGTCTAGAAGAAAATGTACAGATGTGAAGGAATATGCTTGAAGTGCTGCTGATGGCAAAACTGTTCTCTGCCCTGTGGAGATGTGCAGGAAGGGTCTGTGCCTCTGTAGTCATTTGTTGGGCTGGTCACATCAAAGAGCTGTGGCCCGAGTGGCTTAAACAACAGACAGGTATTGTCTGATCGTTGCAGAGGCTGGAGGTCCGAGATCAAGGTGTCCACCGAGTTTGCCTCTTCTGGGGACTGAGAGAGAATCTGTCCATCCTGGTCCCCAAGGTTCTGGTGGTTTGCAGACAAGCTTTGGCATCCTTTGCCTTGTAGATCTCGACCTCATCTTCACAAGGCATTACTCTCCTGGGTGCATGTCTGTCTGTAAATTCCCCCTTTAGATGAAGACACCAGTCATTGGATGAGGGTCTCATTTTAACTTGATTACCTCTGTCCAGCCCTTTTCTTAATCGATAAGGTCTCAGGAACAAGGTCCTTGAGTGCACAAGATGGGTGGGGTCCAGAGCACAGGGGAAGGCGGCCCAGCTAGAAAAAGGGAGGGAAGGCAGAGGAGTTGGGCAAAGGGACTGGCAGGACAGTGGGTTGGGACAGGGATGAACACTAAGCAGCTTTGTCCTCCAGGCCTTGTCTTTGAGAGTGGGTATGTTTTCATAAACACGAGGACATGATAGCTGAGGTGAGGTTTATGTCCTTTAAAGACAGGAGGGGAGAGACAGATGAGAGTGGGGCTGCTCATGGGTGGAGGTGGTACCCAAAGGGGTCCAGAGGAGACACCTGACAGGATTATCTGAGGTCACATGGTGCCCCCAGAGCCAAGGCTCAGCCCCATGGTGATGATGGGCAGCCACTGGTTGTGACTGTCCTGTTAGGTAGGTGCCAGGTACCACAACCCCTTGGAGACTGAGGCTCTGCCAGGCACTCTGACCCAGCTGAGTCTTTGGCCCAGGGCCCTGCTCCTCCCATGGCAGAGCTTCGTCCTCCAGTGAGGAGGAAGGACCCCTTCCCCAGGTACGAGGAAAGGAGTCAAGGACAGGGGTTCATGCAGTCAGGTTCCCCATGACTGTGGGTCATCTGTTCATCCCTTGGTGCCACCTTCTTAACTGTAGAGTAGGATGACAGTGGTGCTACTCCTACCCAGTTATTTGAGGATTGAATTCTAGGATCCGTGGATCATGCTCATTCCAGGGACAAGTATGGGACCGGGGTGTGCATACCCATGCCAGTTGTTCCTGCTCCTGTTATTCATTTCTCTCAGCTTGGGTGAGGGCCGGGATGTCTGCTGACAGTGGACACCAATGGGGTAGGAAGAAGATGGAGGAAGGTGGTACCCAAAGGGGTCCAAAGGAGATACCTGACAGGATTATCTGAGGTCACATGGTGTCCCCAGGGCCCAGCTCAGGCCAGATCCCAAGGATATGCACTCTATAGCCCTGAGGGAGGGGCCCCAGTGCTTGGGGACCTGCAGTGCCTTGGAGGTGGCAGGGCCAGGCAGCTGAGAGTGTTGAGATGGGTGGGGAGAAGCAAAGCCCAGGATGGTCATTGCTGGGAGAGGACTAGAACCTGCCCACCCAGGGTGAAGCCGAAGGTCCCTCCTTCCACACTCTGTGCTCCCCTGGCCTCAGTGACCTCCTTTGTAGGACTGACTACACCTTGTTCTGACTTCCTTTCTGTAACTGTCCCCACCTTCTTCCTTGAGCTCCCCAAAGACTCCATTTGATAGATGAGGGATCCCCATCGCCAGCCCCTTTCCTTGGACCTGCCAGCTGACTGCTTGGTGATAGGAAGAAGGAGCCAACACTCTCTTGCTCCACAAACCATCCCTGTCAGTGGGGTTCCTGGGTCCCTGGGGGACAGCGGGTGGAGGTCAGCCCTCAGGCCATGAGCTTGGAGGGCTGGTGCATGATGCTTATGGACATTGGTGCTCTGTGTTTCCACAGGCCACATGAGGCCCACGGATCTCTGGGGAGATGAAGTTCTGCTGCCTATCCTTCCGGCAGCCTTATGCAGGTTTTGTCTTAAATGGAGTCAAGACTCTGGAGACTCGCTGATGTCCTTTGCTGAGCAGCCACCGGCACTGTACCATCGCTATCCACATTGCTCACAGGGACTGGGAAGATGCTGTCTGGAGAGAACTGCTGCTGCAGAGGCTGGGGAGGAACCCTGCTCCGATTCAGGCCTTGCTTCGGGAAGGGGAGAAGTAGCTGTCAAGTGGCCACACCCCGAGCACTGCTCGGATACCTCAAAATTCCTGATGACTTTGCTCAGGAGCTTTGGGGCTTGCTTTCTTTTGAACCTGTTGGGGTGGGGTTTTGGTTTCTTTAAGCTGCACACCTTCAAAGAGGCAGCAAGGGGCCCTGGGCTGGGCGTCTGTGGGACAAGTTTCCAGGACCTTGGGCGAACCCTTGTCCACTCTGGGCCTCAGTTCCCGTTGGTGGTCTGAGAGTCAGGGACCAGTCCAAGGCTGCATGTGGTGTTGCCTGTGTGTACACATGTGGGCTTGTGTGCGTACATGTGCGTGTGTTTGTGTGACAGGCCACGAGAGGCTATACAGCACACAGAGAGGGTCGGGTCACCTCCAGACTTAGGCGTCACACACCTGCCCCACGCCCAGTGCCCATGGGCACCTGAGCAAGTTCCTTCACCCCTCAGTGGTTGAGGTCCCACATCAGCTCCTTTCACCTGGTGAAGTGCTTGGGAGCTGATGGTCTGTGGGTTCCCCACAGCAGCCGGGGCCCTTCTCACCTGTACATGCTGCCCTCAGCAGTCTGGCTGGAACCTGCCTGTTCCTGGGTGCAGTTGTTGAGGACAAGGCCCTGTCCTCTTCATTCTGCCCCAGCCTCACCCAGAATTCCCTGAACAGAGTGGGATACATCGGGAGTGTTCAGTGAGAGGGACCCAGTTCCCTCTGTGTCCATTTGGTGATATCAGCTGAGTCCCTAATGGTTATAACGTTGAATAACCATTTTCTCTCACAGGCAGGCCTTGGTTTGTGGAAGGAAAAACATCTCTGTGCTTCTCTCTTGGTGCACAGGGCTCGTTGACATTGGGGAAACTTTGCAGTGTCCAGAAAATGTAGCTCCTGATGAGCTTGTGGAACTGGAAAATTAAGCTATACTAACCAATCTGAAGCAGAAGTACTTGACTGCACTTTCAAACCCCAGGTGGTTACCGGAGCCCACACCCAGGAGAGGTGGAAAGGATATCTTCCAGGTGGACATCCCAGAGCACTTAATCCCCCTGGGGCAGGAGAACTCCTCACAGGAAGGTTACTGAGAAACCAGCTGACTCATGACCATTAACATGCCATCATGCTACAGACACATAAATCAGGCTTAATCTGAATTCGCATCACAGTGGAGAGCACTACCCACCACCTGCTGTTCACGTAAGCAGCTTTCTGTGTTCAGATGCACCGGGCTTTCCTCAGGAGATACTTGCCTGGACTTATCGACACTCTCAAGGACTATGACCTTTAGAGAAAAAAAGGAAAGCTTTCGCTAAGTATCTTGGTGTTGTCACTCATTTAGGTCCTGCTCATTCCTGAGTTGTACAAAGAAATGTGTTTTAAGAGAACGGGTTAGTGTTCAGGACTCCCTTACATGTTTTCTCCTTCTTTGTTCTGGTCAAACTCATAGAACGATTCAGCAGCATCCAGGGGATGTTATGGGAGGGCTGGGAGCAGGCACTGAATGATTGCCCAAGGGTGACCAGCCAGGAATGGGACTGCCTCTTGTACCATGAAAGGGACATCAGACTTTGAAACACAGCACCTGTCTGGCAAGTGACTCTTGCTCTGTTATAAAAATGTCTCTTGGCTCATGAAGCTGTGTGTTAGACATGTCACACAGCTACTTTGTGACCAAAGAAAGGATCTGAAATAGAGCTCTGATGGAAAAGTGATGAGTATATTGTTTCTTTGATTGTGTGTCTTGTGGGCAATCTTTTATTTATTTGGGTCCCTTCTAGGGGAGTTCCCAGTGCTTGTTAGCTGTGAGGATGATGGGCTTTCTCCCAGGGGTTGACTGGAATGGCCTGTCTTCTGAGCCAGACTGCCATGGTTGTAGACGGCTGAGCAGATAGGGTGGCCCTAGTTTTAGGTGGGTCTCTCTGGGAGGTCCCTGGAAATTGGGCTAGAGATGCTCAGCTGCTGGTCAGAAACTTCCTGGCATCACTGGGGGACCTGTGAGGAAAGACCCTCCTGTTTTAAGGTACCTGACTATTGGAAGGAGATCCCCCAAGGTCAGGAGTCAGGCAGTTTTGTCTCCTGACCAGCAGGTGAGGCTCAGGGGACCTGATCTTCCTGAGCTTGCTTCAGAGCTCCCTAGCCAAGCTCTTGGATGAGTGTGTGAAAATGAATGAGAACAATGGGGACAAACACCTGGGTCGGGCCAGGATTGCGAGCCTCCCAGGGTTTGTCTGATAAGGTGTGTGTAGCATGGAAACAAGAGAACACGGACTCACAATTCTCATTGTTAATTTACTCCCATGGAGTTGTGCTTTTCTTTATTTATTAAGGCCGAAAATGGATTTGTGGTTACAAAGTGGTGATTATTTTCTATCATTGGGAGCTTAGGGGCCTGTATTGTCCCTGCATTGCTCACCAAGTGCACATGAGTCATCAGAGGAGCCCCCCCAATCAGGGTCTGTGGGTGGGGCCATAACTGAAAGGGCAGCCATCAGGATGGAATAACAGGTGGTGTACAAAGACATCACTGAATTATACAGTGGGTAACCTGGGTGGCTGGTTGGCAGATCCCATGCACCATTGGTTCTGGCAGGAGCTGTGGGTGCAAACGTGACATTTCCGGATGTGCCCTCCCCACTTGGGCCACCTGGCTCATTTGGGCAATGGACTATCATGGCACTGCTTGAGGACCACAGACCCGAGAACTTGAATGACCAGGTTTCACTGGGTCCCTGAGCACTCGGGGCTTTCTTCTGAGTTTTCGGGTCAGCTACTTTGGAGCCTCCTCTATGGTTAATTCTTGGGGAGCATCCTGCGGGGGCTACCTGCTTCTTCTTCCTCTTCGGAGGTGCTGCACTGGTCCCTGGCCAAGCAGCAGTAGTCATCTAGTTGCCTTCTCTCTTAATGTTCTTGATGAACCAAGGCTTGTCTCTTTGAAAGTTGGAATTGTGGTAGATCTGAAAGAAAATTAATCATTTTACTCATTCTGGGAGAAAATTCATCTCTTTGACATTAACTGGCCTCTCAGAGTCTTAGTCTTAGGTCATCCCTGCAGGTTATCTCTAAGGGGGTGATAATTTCATATGAAAATCTATACTTTCTCATCCTTCAATACTGTCTCATGTGAAAAAAGAGTTATCCCCTGAAATAAAATCCTTTCAATATGGCCTAATAGAAATATGTTCAATTAATAGAGAACATGGTAAACAGGACGATTTCCTATTTTACCACCAATCTGTTTCCTGGAGAGCCAACTGAAGAGTCAATTATGCGTATTTTGCTGAATCCATAGAGGTTCATCAGACAGATGAAACTCGTCAGGCTGTCTGATTTGAAGATTTTCTCTGTGCCCCTGCAGGAAAGGACCTCCCTCTGGAAAAGATCTTTCTTTATGATCAGGGTGTCTCCATTTTCATTCCAGTGCACAGATATGAAGGTGTTGTCCTCTACTATCCTCCAAAACTTTCTTGGGAAGGACAGCTCAAGAAAAATGTTTCCTTCTATGTTGGCAGCAACTTGGTTTGGGTTCTGTGGTTGCAGATTGCCTTGGGGGCTTGGGTTTTGGCTCTGGAGTTGGTCTCTGTGCCCCTTCAAAGCCTCCCTTGGATCCACATTTGGATCCAGGATGTATCAGCTTGGACCCTTATTGGTGGTGCTCTATCCTTTGATGGGTCCAGCTTGGCTTTGTCCATCTCATTGATATTTGGACTGGCCATGGATCTGCTCTAGAACAAACAGCATTTGCCACACAGATTGTATCACTGAACACTGGGGTCAGAAGTGTCTTTGGTCACAGCAGGGATGCCCAATATATATATATACTGTCCGCAAAATTCTGGAGTCTCGGTCATGGGGCAACCAGCTGCTGAAGTCAGTCCTCTTTCCTGATCATGTGATGTCACAAATGTGGCTCATAGCTGGCTTGGAGAGTTGGCCATGGCCAAATGTGGAGGAGTCCCTAGCTCCTCTCTTTTCAGAAAGTGCAGAAAAATAAGGTTCAGATGGCCAGAAAGGGCACTTCTCTGCTGCCAGGCACATTGTTTCATGTTGCCAGGCATTTGCCAGGTTGAGAAGTCATGACCTTAGCTCTACTGTCACTCCTACAGGTGTGGGAGTCCTGCTTATGGCCTCCTTGATTGCTCAAGGGCAAGACCCTACCACCAGGACTGCCTGAGTCAGATGCGCCCCTAGGAGACTGTACTTCCCAGAAGATGGTGGTGAGCCTGGTCTCAGTTGGTAGCACCCCCTCTGTCAATCATCCCACCATCAGTTTCCTGCTTTGTTCTCTTCCAGGTGCTCCTGGTGGTTGGTTGGTCCTCCTCAGATGGCCCAAACTAAATCCTGTTTTCTCACCCTGGGTCAAGCTGCCCCTAGAGTAGGGCTTGGCTCCCCCACAGGTGGGAGAACTCCTCTTGTTCCTGAACCTCAGTGCTATTCCAAGCACTTCAGACACAGTGTTTCCCATGATGTTGGTGTGTGATTGGATAGTTGCACCCTCCGCTCTCCTGGGCAGTCCCTACTGGAGCTCTGCTTGCCCCCAGGTCTCACCCCTCTCTGCATCACAAAAGCATTGGCTTTAGTTTCCATTTCTTTTCTTTTAAAATATATTTATTAATTATGCTTTTGCAGTTGTCCCAATTTTCTTCTTTTGTTCCCCTCTGCCCAGTACCCCCTTTCCCTCAAGCTTAGTTCCCACCCCTTTAGTTCATTTTCATGGGTCATACATATAAGTTCTTTGGCTTCTCCATTTCCTATATTATTCTTAACATCCTCCTGTATATTTGGTACCTTCCAATTATGTTTCTTAATCCCTGCACATTTTCCCTTATTCTCCCTCTTTCCCCTCCCAGCTGATAACCCTCCAAATGATCTCCATATGTATGATTCTGTTCATGTTCTGGTTGTTTGCTTACTTTGTTTTTTAGATTCAGTTGTTGATACTCGTGAATTTGTTGCCATTTTAATGTCCATAGTTTTTATCTTCTTATATTTTAAATAAGTCCCTTTAACATTTCATGTAATAATGGCTTGGTAAGGATGAACTCCTTTAGCTTTATCTTGTCTGGGAAGAACTTTATCTGTCTTTTCATTCTTAATGACAGATTTGCTGGATAGAGTAATCTAGGTTACAGGTCCTTACCTTTCATGACTTTAAATACTTCTTGACAGTTCCTTCTTGCCTGCAAAGTTTCTTTTGAGAAAGCTGACAGTCTTATGGGAGCTCCTTTGTAGGTAGCTCTCTGCTTTTATCTTGCTGCTTTTGAGATCCTTTCTTTATCTTTAACCTTTGGCACTTTTATTGTGATGTATCTTGGTGTGGTCCTTTTTTAGTCCAACTTATTTGGAATTCTCTGTATTACCTGGACTTGTGTATCTTTCTTTCACCAAATGAGGGAAGTTTTCTTTCTTATTTTTTCAAATAAGTTTTCAGTTTCTTGCTCTTCCTCTTCTCCTTCTAGCATTTCTATGATTCAGATGTTGGTACATTTGGAGATGTCCCAGAGAGTCCTTATACTATCCTTTTTTTTAAATTCTTTTTTCTCATTGCTGTTCTGGTTGAATGCTTATTTATTCCTTATGTTCCAAATTGTTCATTTGAATCTCAGTTTCCTCCCCTTCACTGATTGTCCCCTGCATATTTTTCTTTATTTCACTTAGTGTAAGCTTTATTTTTTCCTTTATTTTGTTGCTGTACTCAGTGAGTTTTTTGAACATTCTTTGAACTCTGCATCTGATAGGTTGGTTATCTCTGTTTCATTTAGTTCTTTTTCTAAGGTTTTGTTCTGTTCTTTCATTTGGGTCATATTTCTTTATCTCCTCAATTTGGCAGCCTCCCTGTGTTTGTTTCTGTGTATAGGTAGAGCTGCTTTGACTCCCTGTCTTAATAGCATGGCCTATTGTAGAAAAGGTACCTGTAAATTATGTGGGGGCAGAGCTTTAGGTAATTGCCAGGATGGGGCAAACCACTTCACTGCTTTATGTCTCTGTGGGGAGAGGGCTCAGAGAGGGGACAATGCTGCTGCCTAGCTTCTGGTAGTTTGTCTGGGAGGAAGCTGTCTCCCAGCACTCATGCTGTTTTTAGTCTCCTCACTTTCTCCCTATATGCCACTTGTGCCCTTCCAGC